TTATATTATTAATATGTTATATATAATTATATTATTATAATGAATAATCACATAGATATTAAAAAAGCAATAATCTGCAAGGTAAGGCTATGCCAAGAGGACCCTTTGTCATGGCTCAAGATGGAAAAGCTTTTCGGAAACTAAGGAATCTGCCTGGAACCTGTAGTCTTTTAGGAGGCACCTTCCAGAGAACATCCCATTGGATCACCCACCTGAGCAGCAGGAACCTCTCCAGTGCTTCCCAAGAGAAAAAACTGGCTGCCAGAGGCTCTGGAGCTTCTGGTGCCACAGGACGCACCCCTTGGAAGTGGCACTGCCTGCCAGCCCCCTCCATCCAGCTCTTTTCCCACCAAACCCTGGTTGTTTAAAGCCTTGCAGCCCCAGGCACTCACTCACTTTGTGTTCCTCACATCCAGCTGGTAGATGTTCCCATCCTGAGTCCCTGCCAGGATATAGGTGCTCGAGAGGAACGTGCAGCAGTTGAAGGCGTCAGATCCCACAAAGAGGAACACCTGGAAATTTGGGAACGAACCGAGTGTGAACCTCGGTGGAAAATGGAGCTGGGATAACACTGACCATTTTACCTGTCTAGGTTTATCCTGGCTCAATTCCTCATCTCAATGCTCTGGCAATCCCAGATCCTTACCGGCTGCCTGCTCTGCAGTCCCACTCCCTGAAGCTTCTTGTCCTCCCGGGCCAGCAGCAGGATTTTCCCTTCTGTCCCGATCTCACGCTCACCTGGCAAAAGGACAGCAGGTCATTCCAGCAACAGATCCTGATGGGATCAAATCCTGAGTTTGGATCACTGCCACTGAACTTGGGGCAACATTCCCCCAGATCCCAAGACACCAGGAAGGCCGGTAATTGAGCAGAGCTCAGTTTAGTCCCCCAAACTGCTCGATAAGGCTCAACTGCTGCCCAGGACTGGAGTGCTCTGCTCCCTTCCCAAGGGATTCCTGGTGACAAACCTCAGCAGTTTGGGACAGGGAAGTGAAGGGGAATTTTCAGAGGAAGAGCCTTACTGGGAGGATTTTCGGGCGCGCCCAGGTTCAGGGAGTCGTCGGCAGTGCCTACGGCGATGCCGTTCACGGGGGAGCCACAGTCGGCAATGACACCCAGACAGGCGGATTTCCCGCAGTCCCAGAGCCGGGCAGTGCCATCCCTGGAGCAGGACAGGACATTCCTGCCTCGATCCACAATGGCAGTGTCCAAAATCCCTGCATGGAAGCAAAGGCCGTGTTCAGACACACACAAAAAGCACCTCGTTTCCCAAGCCGAACCCAACGCCCCAAGCCACTGTTCCCAGTGACACCAGTCACACACAGGCAAGTTGTGCCTCTAGGAAAAGGTGCCTGTGGAAGGAAGCAGCTCTCAGAAAACCTTACAGCGTGGGAGCCACCACTTGGCACAAAGGGAAGACATTATCCATCAAATGATCAGCAACACCTCACTTCAGACTGAGCTGACACTGCACAAAATTAATTTGGGCAGAAAACAGCCTGGCCTGGCACTCTTAAATGTTCCCAAGTTCATCCCTGGATAATCCCCAAAGCAGCATCCCTGTTATGCATCTACAGCAACACCCAAAGAGCAGCTTGTGCAGGTGCTAAGATCCCCTAACTACTTTATTTTACTGTGGGCAGTCAAATCTGGATGTGAAAAATGACACAGTGGCTTTTTAGCAGGGAACAGTCAGATGGTCAGGAGATTTAATTTGACACTTTCCTTACAGAAGGAGTCATTAAACTTGACAAGGATAAGCCAAGCAGAGTGACTGCAGCAGCTTGGGCTGGAGGTATAGGCAGGGAATAAAGTCACCCCGAGAGCCACGGCCAAGGCACTGTCCCAACACTGCCACGGTTCGGGTACAGGACACCTGTGCCAAAGCCTTTTGAATCTACACAAAGGGACTATGGAATTGGAAGGGACCTCAAAAACATTCTAGTTCCAATCACCAAATTGCTTTAGGACAATGCTAGGTTCAGTGTAAGATGGGTTTTTGAGTTAATCAAGTTTAGGAGTTTATTAATCTCTCAGTCAAGCCCGGCACCTCATGAGACAGAAAACCAGAGCCTGCCCAGAGCAGTTGGTTGCTCAGGGAACAGATAATTTTGGGCAGTGTTTTGGGCATCTGATGCCACATCCACACCTCACTTGGACTTGCTCAGGATAACCCAAGGGCTCCAGTTGCCATCCCTTGGGAAGGAACCACCTGCCACAAGCAGACCGTGGCCACTGTGCTCTGGGCCAGGTGTAAACAAGAGCAGAACAGGTGCCTGCCTAAGCACGGGCCTAAATCCTTAACCCTCCCAGTGGAGGGTCCTGGAAACCAAATCTTCTTTCCAGAGATTACCTGAGTATCCTCCCAGCTGCTCTTGTCCTGCTTTACTCCCTTTAACCAGCACAGGGAGCTGCAAGTCCATAATAATAAACTGCTGTATGGTTTTCCGGGCAAGGAAAAAACCAAACAAAAACCAAAAGGAAGAGGCCCTGGCGCTACTGAAGGTGAGCAGGATAACCTGAGAGCAAGCAGGAGGCATTCCCAGAGCAGGCAGCAAAGCTCCTGGAAGCAGGATGGAGCTCTGGAGAGCTGAGACTGCCCTGGAGGAGCAGAATCCCTGTGCCTCCACCTCTGGAGCAACAGCCTGCTGTATTGCACCCTCCCTCTTTTTAAATTAATTAAGAAAAAACAGGTTGGAGAGAGAAACAAGTTTCTTCTACTACAAAGAATTTCCAACCTTTCTATTCAAGTTCTGGGAGCTTAAAAAAGGTACTGGTGACTGAACATCAGCCCTGGGGTGCAAGGCAAGTTCACACTCAGGAGACGAAGCATTTCAAAGGCTCTGTACCTCCTTTGTGACCTTTAAATGTCACTACACAGCTGGCATCCTCTGCTGACCAGATCTTTAGCTGGGCATCCATTCCCCCACTCAGCACCACGAGGCCAGATGGGAAAAACCTGCAACAATTCACATCATACACATGGCCTTCCAATAGTCTCTGGAAAAACAAAGAACTGTGTGCTAGTTCCATTGTCATCA